TCGTGTACTTTGATGCGTGGGCTCCGCACCCCGTTGTGGAGAGGAAGGAGGAGGAGGGGGGCGGGGGGGATAGACCCACTGCCTCCATATCAAGCATTCTGTAAAAGGCGACTAATTAAGGATGTTTTCCTCCAAAGTTGAAGGACATCTGCATGAGAGCCGCTGAACCAAAAGTCTGCATACAAATAAGCAGGTCTGTAAAACAGATATACACGCAAACATTTAATTTCTTGATTTTCAACACTTTCACAGCAAGATCTCCTTCTTCTTCACCGGCTGTTAACTCCGGCAGAGAGTTCACGTTGTTCGTCCCCTTCTGGACTTTGTATTGTTCCAGAACGTGAGGTGTGTGCACATCCGTTTTATACATCTTGATTATTTACATGAAGACTGTTGGTTCTTTGCCTGTCAGGCAAATGGGCTCCAACTTCAAAGGAAACACCCTTAATTAGTCGCCTTGTACGACATGTTTGTTGCAGGGGAAGTGGGCATTTTCTTTGTAACCCCAGACTGGGCTCCGGAACCCACATGGGAAAGAAAAGAGGTCAATTAAAAAAAAAAAAAAAGCCATCTTTTTTGGATGTGAACCAAAGATTGTCGGACTAACAAGCCGGCGTCTAGCTGCTATGCTAAGTCTGCTGTGCTCCATGTCTAACAGCAAAATAACAGAAAACTAATAAGTGATGATTCATTTTGATGTTTTTTTAAGCGTCACGGGGGATTACAGTTTGAGCAGGCTCTAATAATCTTTCGGTTCACTGCGCAGCTTCACGGGGTAAATCAAAGGACACCTTTCAATGCTCTGCATATTATAAACAGGCCAATCTGCGGGATGTGTTGATACGGCCAAGGTCATGCGAAGCGAGCTTACTACTCAGAAATTACCTGGCACCAAATGATCAATTGGATTGAATACAATAGTTTTCCGTTTACGAACAAGACACTGCAGGCTTAACTGCCACATGAATAGAATAACAGGACCACAAACACCTGATCACATTATGCAGACCTGCCCACTCTACTTACAACTTAGAAAAGAAGCCTGGCCTTAAGAGTAAAGTGTGCAGAGCATGATTGACCTGCTGCTGACATGCAAGTTCACAAAGACAACCCACCTGGTGGTCTGATCTGAGCATACGAAACCGAACATAAAGAAGAAGAAGAATAGACAGGGTACACGGAACGTTAATCTCCTCACGCTCCGTCCATATAACACTAGGTCACTTCTGATTAGTAGTTCCTGAACTTGTCACCTTGGCTCAAGGTTACGGGGGTGTTCCGCGATGCCGATTATATCGCGTGTTGTATATTTCAGCACGCCAGTGCTTTTAACGCTCCAAAAACATGGAGCAACTGGCCCGAATACACCCCTCCCTTTTCCCCTACAGAGTGCTGCAACCTGTCACATTCTCTTTCTCGGAATGAAAACGTGAATTCAAGACCATACAGAAGGCAAACAATAGAGTGGAACACACCTGTACCCTTCAGGAAAGTCGACCAGCCCAACAAACTTGTGAATTAAAAGTGACCTACTCTATTTGGGAAGATTTGCGTTATGTTTACCAGACAGTGCTGCCATCTCTCTAAGTTCAGAAACCAAAGGTTTGTTGCCAGACTGGCTTTGAAACTACACGTCCTTCCCTAGACATATTGGGGTCAGGGACGATAGGGCCATGGCACGGGAACCTTGAACCTTATAATACCAAATAATAGAGATTCGAACACAAGTTCACTGGGTCACTTGGTAGGTGTGGTCATAATAACGCTACGGCGAGTTTCCCTGCCAATGAGCTACTCTAAAGGCAGATCATAGTTTATCCCATATAAACACAACAAAGGGGATACTTTATAAAACTGCTTGCAGTGTAGCATGGGAAACTTCGACTTTCACGAGAAGGTTGGTTCCATGACCCATTGCCGAGGGAAGTTAACAGAGACCCACAGCCTTCCTCACAAGCATGTCGTAAAGTCGATTATTTAGTGATGTTTTATTTTCTGCCACGATCACCCGAGATGCGTGGAACCAACAGTCTGCATACAAATAAACCACTTATTTAAATCGGAGTGCACACAGAAGCATAATTCCATCAGAACTGGATGAAGAGCCATTTACCTGAAGTAATATGAAATATATGAATAAATACTGTTAAAGCTTTTTGGCCTTTTGGCTAAGGTCGAAGTGGTAGCTCTGCTGCACTGGTCTAGCTAAGAGGACCGGGATCGGTCACAACCAAGTCACGGGTGAACCCCAAACGGCAAGAGCCATCTCTAAAAAACTCACACAGGGATATTTCCCTGTTCAGTTTGGATTACCGGCGCAATATCCTCTAGGTTGTCGGGCGGCCAAGCTGGATATTTGGGAGACCGACCCAGTAAAAAAAATAAAGAGCATTTCTATATTTGGTTAAAGGGAGCTCTTGTTCTCCTTATTAGAAAGGGGAAAGGGGTGGGGGGGGGGGCCCTCCAGATTCCCGCACATATATTTTGACAAGTCTACCTTTGACAAAACTAACACAGGATCTAATCTCTGACCTCACTTGTACTTCCCGCCGAGCTACCCCAGTGTACAGATATGAAATGCCCCTTCGGTGTCCGACTTCGTAGAAGTAATTGCGCCACAGACGGGGAGAAGACAGCAATCAGATAGCAATCCCTCTTCTTCTTCCTGTTTGTTTACGTAACCTTACGCAGTTAATTGTATTCTTACTTCCTCTTTGTCGTTGTTAAATGGTTATATTAACACATTTGGAGAAGATACGGTAGGCATTCTATTTAGGATAGTCGGCCTCATGTGGGATGCAATTCTTCGTTATTTAAGGCCCCATCTTGGCTTTTGCCGGGGGCCCTGAATATAGCCGGGCTAAAAGCTGAATTTGGCCGGTTTAAAGGGGTTTCTGTGAAAGTCGGATCGCTCGAGGCCGACCTATCGGTTCTGAGGTGGTCAGTAGGTCGTCCAGTCAGAAGCGAGCTAGTGTGTAACGGTGTGTAAATGGGGAGACCAGCGTACAATTTACCTCACACAAAAAAAACAATGGGAAAGGGGGTGAGGCTACACATCACCACACCCTCATCTGCATTTGGGCACACACACACACACACACACATTTGGGATAGGAGGGTGCTGAAACAAATTTAGGTTCCCACCCCCTCCCCCCCCCCCCCCCAAAAAAAAAAGAAATAAGGAAACTGCGGCCACTTTATCACATTATACATTTTCTAGACAAATAATTGGGCGTGAGCTCATTGACATGACTTTCAAATAAAACTGCAAGCGGCTTAAGAGGCTACCGTTTAACCATTTAAAGAACTTAGCTCTTGATTTTGAAGTATGTTCAGTAATGTTCGGTCATTAATCTGCTTGTATATAATATATGTTTAGAATATGTTCAGTAATGTTCGGTCATTAATCTGCTTGTATATAATATATGTTTAGAATATGTTCAGTAATGTTCGGTCATTAATCTGCTTGTATATATGTTTAGAATATGTTCAGTAATGTTCGGTCATTAATCTGCTTGTATATATGTTTAGAATATGTTCAGTAATGTTCGGTCATTAATCTGCTTGTATATAATATATGTTTAGAATATGTTCAGTAAAGTTCGGTCATTAATCTGCTTGTATATAATATATGTTTAGAATATGTCCAGTAATGTTCGGTCATTAATCTGCTTGTATATAATATATGTTTAGAATATGTTCAGTAATGTTCGGTCATTAATCTGCTTGTATATAATATATGTTTAGAATATGTCCAGTAATGTTCGGTCATTAATCTGCTTGTATATAATATATGTTTAGAATATGTTCAGTAATGTTCGGTCATTAATCTGCTTGTATATATGTTTAGAATATGTTCAGTAATGTTCGGTCATTAATCTGCTTGTATATAATATATGTTTAGAATATGTTCAGTAAAGTTCGGTCATTAATCTGCTTGTATATAATATATGTTTAGAATATGTTCAGTAATGTTCGGTCATTAATCTGCTTTTGCTTTATTATATTTTTATAACAGTGTTCTTTAACCGGTAGATTGGTGGGCCGCGAAAAATATTATACTTAACCAGGTAATGAGGTAGGGTAGGTGTTTTTAGTGTAGTAATCACTGAATTATTATTACCATCATCATCATCATCATTTCATCAGGAAATTCATAATCTGTTTAAATCACCACCAATAACTGGCATCATGAGATCTAATTCACTGAGATGGTTGGGGCATAGTGGAAGGATGTCAGATGACAGAGTGAAAACTGTATACACAAAGGAGATGAATGGTCGTAGACCACGAGGAAGACCAAGAAGACGATGGAGAAATAATACTCGGACGGACCTGCAAACACTTGGTGTTACCAACTGAAAAGAGAGGGCCAACCAGAGAGATGAATGGAGAAGGGTGATATCTGCAGCAATGAACCTCAAGGGCTCGGAATGCTGAAGAAGAAGAAAAGAAAAGAAGAAGAAGAAGAAGAAGAAGAGGAAGAATCATAGTAAGCATTAATATTATCATCATTTTGATTATCATCGGAAATGATTTAAGAGAAAATGTAGAATAATTGTAAAAAAAAAATAACATCCCCCCCCCCCCCCCCCCCCCCCTCATCTTTGATGTTATCATCGCAACCCCCCCCCCCCCCCCCCCCCCCCCTGCCCCCCCCCCCCATCAAGGGCTTTCGGAAGCCCCCCCCCCCCCCCCCCCCCCCCCCCCCCCCCCCCCCCCCCCCCCCCCCCCCCCCCCCCCCCCCCCCCCCCTCCCCCCCCCCCCCACCCCCTCCCTCCCCCCCCCCCCCCCCCCCCCCCCCCCCCCCCCCCCCCCCCCCCAAAAAAAAAACGGTCAAATACGAACATAGAACTCAGGGAAATTAGGCAAGACACCGTTTCAAGTAATGAAGACCGTGTCATGGATTAAGCAAGGAGTTTGTGTTTATCTTCCACCGATCTGCTCTGCTCTTTCTTTGCAAATTATCTACAAAACAAAATCAGTTGCCTTAGGTGTACAATGTAGATGGCAGATTAAAATCCCAGTCTAATTCTTCCAATGCATTCTCAGCAAAAAGACATCACTTGAAACAACAGAGACATCATCCTTTTAGCCACTAAAGCTAAACACAGACACCTGTATATCCTAAAGTTACGGAAGAGAAGGTAAAAAGCACTTCACTTCTTGCCGCTGTAACAATATTTCTGTGATGTCCCTAAGTGGTAAAGTTCCCTAGGCCAAATGTATTTCTGGTTTGGATGATTTTTGCAAGGTTGTTTGGGCGTTTCTTTACGCAGTTGTTAATCTTGTGGATTATATGTGCGTTGACAGGCCGGTGGTGGTGTGGAATGCAGTTAGATAAAGATATTAAGATGTTTTTAGCGCTGGTATGAGTCAGGAGGCGCAGGGTGATTTTGTGGGTGACTAATAACGAATACGCGACAAACTGAACTGTCCAATATTTCAGAAGTACAAAGTGTGGCCATGGGCAGTTAATGTAATGCACGGCCTACTCTATTTATATACAGAAGGACCTGTGTAAGGGTATCTAGCTGGGAGGGTACAGCAACATAGCATCTAGCAGATAGATGGAGATGAAGAGGCGGGAGTAAGATCTGGGAGGAAGAAGAAGAAGAAGAAGAAGAAGAAGAAGCAGAAGCAGAAGAAGCAGAAGAAGCAGAAGAAGCAGAAGAAGAAGAAGCAGAAGAAGAAGAAGAAGAAGAAGAAGAAGAAGAAGAAGAAGAAGAAGAAGAAGAAGAAGAAGAAGAAGAAGAAGAAGAAGAAGAAGAAGAAGAAGAAGAAGAAGAAGAAGAAGAAGAAGAAGAAGAAGAAGAAGAAGAAGAAGAAGCAGAAGAAGCAGAAGAAGCAGAAGCAGAAGAAGAAGAAGCAGAAGAAGAAGAAGAAGAAGAAGAAGGAGAAGAAGAAGAAGAAGAAGAAGAAGAAGAAGAAGAAGAAGAAGAAGAAGAAGAAGAAAAAGAAAAAGAAAAAGAAGAAGAAGAAGAACAAGGTTAACAAATACTAATAATGATAATAGCTTCAACAAATACACTCAGGTAACGACACAACTATGATGCACAATCTGACCTCGCACGATGCATTGATAGAAACAAAAAGCTTCAGCTAACAGGTATGTAACCTTCACTCCCATACTCATACAGCCGTTTACCTGTATCGGGACTAGTCCAAACTCCAACCGTTGATCATGAAACACCACATAAGACTAATGTGGTTGCAAAGGCCATGCGGATGTCCCTAGTCAAAACTACCTCCGCGAAATGTGCATTAGAGAACCGCAACAGACAATTGGGCTGCGGTTATCACGTGGTACATACCTGCAACTTTCCTTCCAGTCGCCATTACCCACATAGGACTGCAGGTTTCACCTGCCTGATGCAGGCGTTAAAAGTGCGCTTATTAGAACTTAGGGGGGGGGGGGGAAGAGTGGGAGAGGGTCACTTGCTTTGTTGGTCTGTTAGGTACTTTAATTTGATGCGACCATATCTCGCTTGCTTCGAGGATTGGTAAGAAAATCCTTAGAACGTCCCATAGTATGATGGTTCGGGGGGGGGGGGGATGGGGGGGGGGGAGGGGTTAGAGTTAGACTTTATAGTAGTCGCTATTCATTTAACATTAGCCCTAACCCAAACTCCCCCCCCCCCCCCCAACACCAATAAAAACGGGACTGTCCAGGGAAACCACTAGGGATTCCTAGAAATGTATATAGTATATACACACACACACACACATATATATATATATATATATATATATATATAGAGAGAGAGAGAGAGAGCGAGGGGAGAGATAAATAAGAAGAACGCAATCCTAGAAAAGTACGCATGCCCAATTTTTCCTATCGGAAATACGATTCATCCTTTGTGTTTCGACAATTTTCCTTCCTGCTTCTCCGATTCCAACTTTGCTGCATTTATTTTACAGCTGGATTTCATTTCAGCTGGATTTCATATCTTGTGATCAGTTTACGGGAGTGAATCATGTACAGTCGATCGATTGGTGAAAAAAACTTCGTGTAAGTTGTTTTAAGTAGGAGGAATTCACGGACAGCAAAGACATAAGATACATGTCTGGACAACCGCTAGTAAAAACCCCCGATCTTCGGATCCGCAGGAAAACATCTAGCCGCTACATAACGGCTGTTCTGTGACCATCGCAGCTATGAACATTTAAAACACAACAAAGCTGGCGATATACTGGGCACATCGCATGGAGAAACGGACAAACAAACATCACAGAATCATTGAAATGAGAAACAAGTAGACCGAGGCAACGAAGACATAAAGATATACCCTAAGATGAACGTTTGTGATGTGGAAATCGGTGAGAATAGAGCAGAATGGATGAATTAACGAACTGAGAACTGTTTGACGCATATTGGCACAGCATGATGATGATGGGGATGTGGAAGTTGTGTGGTTTTATAATTATATGATGAAAACATTAGGGTAGGCAAAACGAGTAATAAGAATAATATCATGAAAGCGGTTTTAGAACTGAACACTTGCACACGAACATTTATGGAAGACGTCGAGACAAGGGGTGAGGGTGAATGGGAACAAAGCAGAAACATTAATCTGAATTTTAAATTTTAGATTCTGCATATAAATGTTCTGTGCTTTGTCAGCTTGAGATACCTCTCGTCTCTCTCTACCTCTCTCTCTCTCTCTCTCTTTTTTTCTTTCTCTCTCTCTCTCTCTCTCTCTCTCTCTCTCTTTCTCTCTCTCTCCCCCCCCCTCTCTCTCTCTCATATTCTATTTTCTCCCACACCACTTCGTCTGCCATTTTCTGGGAAGAGACAAAGCAATAATGACATTCTTCTTCTTCTTCTTCTTCTTCTTCTTCTTCTTCTTCTTCTTCTTCTTCTTCTTCTTCTTCTTCTTCTTCTTCTTCTTCTTCTTCTTCTTCTTCTTCTTCTTCTTCTTCTTCTTCTTCTTCTTCTTCTTCTTCTTCTTCCGCTTAAGCCCTTAAAAGAGAAGTTGGGGCGCTGTTTTGTGGCTTACAGTAAGGCAGCGATAGCTGTGTCTGTCAACCCAACACATCCAATTTCAGCCAACCCCTAAAATTGTAACCTTTTACTATGCTTGTTGGGGAGGTGTAGAGGAGGAGAGTGGTGTGTGTGCGTGCGTGTGTGTGTGTTCAGGGGCGGGGGGAGGGGCATTATTTATTTCCCTAAAAAATTGGGCCCCTAATCCCCCTCCCCCGCCCCCACTAACCACAAAAAATAACTGTCAGCGATATCTGTTGCTTCTTTTTACGACTCAACCCTTTTCTTGAGCTTTTCTTTCTACAGTTTATATTGTGTCAAATATGCTTTTATATCTATTTACTATTCAGTACATTATATTATCACCATTATTATTAAGCACTCAAACAAGACTAAGGTCCATTTTAACCTCCCCCCCCCCGTCTCCCAGAAAATGTTTAAAGCTACCCAATGTTCTGCTTTGTGTCAGCACCTGTGTACAGAACAACACCTAGACCTAACCGACAGCGTCCATGTCATTCATGTTCTTGTAGCCGTTAAAAGGTCGTGCCCTTCCCTTGCGTTTGCTGGATTTAATATTTAAGGTGACGTTGTTTTCCTGTTTTGAAAAAAAAGAAAAAAAAGAACCGTTTGTTGCTGCTTATGACGTCAGCTTTGTGAATGCTAAAACTGGAAAAGGGAAACAGATTTCCTTCCGAAACACAGACATATTTTAATGGCCTATCAACATAGTGGCCCGGCACACCTTACTGTCAATTATGCGGTTGTAGGAGTGAATCCCTGAATTAAAAGGGGATTTATATAGTTGATCCCCCCTCCACTTTTTAAAATATAAATATTGGCCTAGCCTAATATGTTAGAAAAGTGAAGTAAGTAGCATGTTCAACGCCACTGGCGTAACGAGTTTGTAAAGAAGAAGAAGAAGAAGAAGAAGAAGAAGAAGAAGAAGAAGAAGAAGAAGAAGAAGAAGAAGAAGAAGAAGTAAAAGATCATGAAAAAAGAAGAGAAGAAGAAGAAGAAACAAGAATAAGAAAGAAAAGGAGAAGAAGATACTAAGAATTAAATGTGCAATGTTAAATTAAGAAACGACATCACAGCACCCGAAACATTCCCATAAACGCTCAGTCCGCATCTTCAGCAGGAAGTGCAGAATTTTAATTTCAGTGGTACAATATACTCGTATTTACTTTCTTTTCTCTCTCTCTCTCTCTCTCTCTCTCTCTCTCTCTCTCTCTCTCTCTCTCTCTCTCTCCATATTCTCGGTTTCTCCTCTTCTCGCCCTCTCCGTTGTCAGCTGAATATGGTATCACGCACGATGCACGCACTCCATAGCTCCGGCGATGATTCGTTTTTATTACTAAGAGTATTAGATTTTGAACCTTTCAAGGCTAAACATATTTCAATACTATCAATTTCCTAACGCTTTCTCTATTTAGATTGTATTCCGAGTGGAACGTGAGCGTTCACAAAAGATAATCTCAAGTACAAATCTGTAGGCAAACTTTGCGGCACTTACACACAATTCACTGGCTTTTAAACTTTATAAACATTTCACACAGCATCAAAAGATTCGCAACAAACGAAATGCAAACCCACTCCACCGTGACTTTAACTATTTCTTAGTTAAGATCCTGGACAAATCAAAGTGTGACCTGTATAATGTTATGTCTTGTGTTATAACAAGTAAGGAAATTGATTTGTATTTGTGTTTTAAAGATAACAAAAAGCTGACTACAGTCTTCTTCTGTCTTTCTAACCGCAAAGGGAGCATAGGCCCTCAACCAGCTCTCGCCAAGTCGTTCTATCCTTCGCTATTGCATGTAGCTTTCCAAAAGACCCCCCCCCCCCACCAAAAATATGTCACCTTCTTCTTCTTCTTCTTCTTAATATCATGTTCTTCAAACTTCACTCTCTAGCTCCCGTCTCCAAGTGTGTGTTTTTTTCTACCTCGTGGATTCCAGTGCAAAAACGTTCTAGTTATTATTCTCAGGTTTTCTCAACGTGTGTCCTATCGAACGCCAGCATCTTTTCCTCACCTCTTGGTCCACTGGAATTTGTTTAGT